CTATACATACACTTGCAAGTACAGACATACCCGCAAGTGTACTTAAAGGTGCCTCGCGAGTACAGAAATTCCCGCGCCTCTTCTGTTTGCGAGTGAACAGTAAATGGAAGGTTCTATTCTCGACCGGAGCAGCTCAGTTCAGTGTCATTGGGGCAAGAACTTTTCACACCTTCTGACATGGCACAGGTTAATCATCTCAAATTTATAATGCCTACTCGTAGCCGAACATATATTTTCTGCCCATACATTGTCCATATTCTGCAATCGGCTGCCATCCAGTGAAAAGGTTTACCCTGCCATTTCTATAACTATGACTTAGCAGCTTAGCTGCATTAGACACAATTCTGAGGATTCAAAGTTAAACCATAAATGCTTAAAGTGATGAGGTGTTTCTAAACAAAGTGTGCAACTAAGCTGCTAAAAATATAAATTGGCACTGTGTTGGCAGAAAATGGCTCAGTCGGCAGGTTTATTTTACTTTTCCTCCCAGTTTAAGGTTGTCATGTGAGTAAAACATTAAAGATAAATGGTAGAATCTGTAATGAGATTTTTTTTTTTTTTTTTTACTGTTAGTTTTAACTGAATAAACGCCCACTGGAAATCACTAAATAAATCACTGTAAATAAAATAATTGAAAATCTACAGTTGCGCTATCAGTTATGCATGTAAATTACTACTGCAATACTGTACATGCATTGGGAAGTGAAAAAAGGTATTGCTACATTTTCGTTTTACATACCGTAATAATAGTTTTTTTTAAATGCAAAAATAAAACCTCATAATATAAGCATGTTGTTATTTGAACAATTAATACATTTTGATGACATGCCTCTAAAAATCATTTGTTTTTCATCAGTTGTGGACCAAGTCATAAACTAGTACCACCCCACAATATTTTGGAGGTAGTTCACTGTCATTGAGCAGGGCCCTCCACCTCTCTGTTCCTGTACGTCCTGTTGTCTGGTTACAATTACATGTCTGTTAATCAACCCATGGTGGAGCGCTACGAAATGTGATGGCGCTATATAAATAATAAAATAATAATGTCTAGGCAAAAGTACTATTATAATCTTTATTTCCCAGCATATATTAGCAACCCTAGGTATCTCAATCCATCTTCCCTGGCTTACAAAGCACTTCGATGTATGGGCATTTTATTTCTATATGCTTATCACTACTGCTGGATGTGCAGGAAGTAGGACTCCTGCTGTTGCAGAACTCCAACTCCCATGAAGCTTTGCCATTGTTATTGCTGGTAAAGGAGCACGGTAAATGTAGTTCTGTAACTGCTGAGGAAGGTGTGTTGGCCATTCATACATTATTTAAATCACACCATCTTGCATAATAACTAGCATGCTTCAAATTGCATACTTGTCAGGGATCGTTGTGGCATATTATACCACGTGCTTGCGGGGTATATAATCTTTACACGCTGTCTGCCATAAAATGTCTCCTAAAACAAATTAGCCATGCACAAATCACAATAGGCTGAAGATGCAAAAAGCGGCCATCTTTGTTAAGGGAAAGACAAAATATAGCCGTTGTTGTTTGATATGTCCATTAGTGAAACTGGTGTAAAGATTGATTTTTACGTCTATTACACTAGCTATCATACATTAGGTGTCACAAAAATGGTCAATGATGCCGTTTTTAAATGTTGACTTTTGGCTAAGGAGGGTCTTGTTGTAATCACTTCCTGTTTGGGGAGTGACCTTTGCCCCCGCCGCGCTTGCTCCTTCCTTTCCTGTAGCGGCTCCACGAGAAGACGTAGCAGTAAGTGCGGTTATCGCCTGCAATCCGATTTAATCCTCAATAACCGTGGCTTGCCGTGTCACTGCACCCATATCCCCGTGTTAGGGAAGGTCCACCCTCCCGGTACAGGAGGTTATTGAGCCGCGGGGGGTATTATTGTGAGTGTTTGAGGAGTTTAATGTTTGCCGGGGGTTTCCCAGGCTGCGGCCCGGCCTGGTGTCAGCCTGCTGGCAGAGCGCTGTGTGTATTAGCTATGGGCAGGGCAGGGCGCTGTGTGCGTGCAGGATGTCAATTGCTTTAATGCTTATTATTATTATTACATACAGCTTGCTTGTAGTTATAATGTATCAGCAGCCAGCAGCGTACACATGCCTTGGAATTCCCATCACTTCCCTTCCAGGACCCGCATCAGTCTTCCCCTCTTTACTGGGCCGTGTGTAACGTTACAGGAGCAAAAGTATAATTTCAGCTTTTTTTGTGTAACATAGAGGTTTTTTTATTCTATGCTGTCTGTGTATGGGAATGTTTTCAGTGTGTGCACCTACGTTTGGCCTAAGGAATCTAAAAAAACCACTTTTATATTTTAAATTTCAGCACACTAGAAAACCAGTGCTAATGTGAGTTTTGTAGTTCTAGTAGTGGTGATTGTTATGTATGCACTTTGTTTTGACTGTGTAGTAGACCTTTTAGTTTTTTTTTGGTTTGTATTTTTGTTACACCTCCTGGTACCTTG